AGTTTACTTCATAGGCCCAGGTTTGCTGTGTTTATTTCCTTACAAATTTTTTAAGCTCTAGTGTTTTACTGACTTATTTATTCTGAAAAGTGGTTCTGCCTCACTTGCTCTCAGGTGATTTCTGCAGTTTTGTGTTTTCCTTTAAGTTATAAGAACCAGCAGAGAGTGACGCATTTCCCGGCTTGAACACAACCCAAAACCTAAACGACCCATTGGAGTCTCACCAGCTTCCAAGTGGGGTGACCGCCCCCTGCTTATTCTTTGATGGCCAAGGACTCTTTCTTGATCTTTTTTTCCATATTGATCTTGACTGCCCGTAAGTCCCTGAAGACAGGGACTTTGTTATGTTCTCCATTCAAAAACAGCCCTTGTCACCTAGGAAACACTCAAATAATTATTGAGTGACTAACCTAACGGGCAGTGAATTCTGGAGAGAGAAGCGAAATGGTGGCTCTTTACTGTTTACCTTTCAACCCGGAAAACCCCAGCAATGGGAAGCAGAGCTCTGCTTCTGTGTTGAGTTCATCTCAGGTGGAGGCCCGCTGTCCCAGGAGGACAGCATAGCGAGTGTGCAGGCCGCGGCCAGGGGACTCAGGGCAGAAGCGCCAGAAAACAGCACTGTTGTGTGCACCCAGGGCCTGGTGATTATTTGCTGTTCTGTGCGTGGTTCCTGGAGAGGGGGCGTAACTATGTTCTGTTCACTGGGTCTGGCTCAGGGCCTGGCCCACAGTTGGCCTTCAACACACGGTGGTTGAATTGAAACCTTTGTGTTTTTGCAGGTGTTTGAAGGGAAGGGCGGGGGGCCCCAGTGGGTGCTTTTGCACTTGCAGTGGGACGCGGACACAGGCGGTTTGGGGGATCTGAGTCCTGGGCCACGAGGTCAGGTGGGCAGCTCAGGCTCGTAGACGTCCAGTGGGGTGTGTTCTTGAGCCACACTGCCTGTCCTTGCTCGATTGTGTTTGTGGGATTTTTCTCTAATACCTTAAAAAATAGTGATGTAAAATGATAATGGAACAGTAGAGAGCCCAGAAATGAACCCAGTTGTATTTGGCCAATTCATTTACAACTAAGGATCCAAGAATATACAACAGGGAGAGGGTAGTGTCTGCAGTAGCTGGCATCCAGGAAACGGGACCCTAGCTTAGCCATGCATGAAAAAGCAACTCAGAAAAAAAAAAAAAAAAAAAGACAACCGATAACTACAAAGAAAGGTTTTAACATAGATTACAAGTTGAAGCATCATGATATAATGAATGCCCCTGAACCCCCAGTTTCCTGCAAGATGAATGCCAACTTTTATCTTTCCTGACTGATTTCCCATAGAGGTATTCTCTCTGAATTTGGTATTTACTATTCTCTTGTCTTGAAGACCAGTAAGGACAAAAGCCTTGCTGTATTAGTTTAAAACACACAGAGAAGTGTGCTTATATCTCAATAATAGAGGTGATGGTTGCTGAGCCTTAGAAAAGTGGCAGCGTCCTGGCTAGTCCCCTGGGGCTTGCCTCCCCTGCCCCAATCCTATTTCTGGGGTCAGTGATGTCACAGGCAGCTGTGGGTCATCCGTGGTTTCTTCATGCCTATGTTTTTTCCTGTTTGAACCCCTTAAAGGTGGGAAGACTCCCAAGCAAAGAGATCCAGTTAACTTTAATTTTAACTTTTTACAAGCTGTCATTAAGCTTTCCCATGTTGCTCTGCTTATGGGAAGCTTTTAATCATTTGCTAATTTAATGATAGATATTCTTAGCCCTTGGAATTTGTAGTGAAGTATTTCCAGTTAGGATTAGTGCAATATGAGTTTGACCATTTTCCACTAGTGTTCTGGGGCTTCCGCCTGGGTGCAGTTGGAGAGCTGTGGGGGAGGCCGCCTTTGTGCTGCTCAGACACTTGTGAGGGGCAGGGGGTGGGGCTTTGGGGAGCAGATGGGGCTGGGGTATGAACAGCCTCCATGGAAGGTTAAGACAGTGTTTTAATGGGAACTTCACCCCCAGCACACAGATGGGAACACAGCATGCAGGGGGCTGTTGCCGGGGAGGGGAGCAGCTCTCCCTCCAGTGACCGCCGATTCCCTGACCCCAGGCTTGTCCTCGCCCTCTGGCTCCCTTCCACGCCGAGTCCCCACCCCACTCGCCACCTCCTTTCCCGGACAGCGTGCTGCGTGACTTCTGGTTACCTGCTTCTGAGCATCAGTCTGTTCTGGATAAAAATTTCAATGTGAATTTGTTTTTTGCTTCTCAGGAAGATGGTTAGTATAGCTAAGTACTGGCTGAGGACATTTCCAACGCCACAGTTTCTAGGGGTTAGGAGTGGCCTGGAAATTTGAATTTCATATAAAATGTTGCTCTGCATGTGCCGTTTTCTGGGGCCTTAGCATTAATCTGTTTGGGGGTCTGCAGTCACCCAAAGTAATTGATTTTAAGCAGTTGTCTGTTGACATGTGGGGCCAGGTTATCAGCGGCCATCCTGTGTGTTGTAGGGTGTTCAGCCATTTCCCGGCTTCCCTCATTAGATGACAGCGATTTCCTTACCCCAGTGGTACAACCAAAATTGTCTCCGTACACTTACCTCATGTATGGGGGCGGGGGGAGGGATTGGCAACCTCAGTTGAGAAACACTATTTGTAGAGCAATTTTAGGTTCACAGCAAAACGCAGCAGAAGGTGTAGTTTCTTTATCTCCCTGCCCCAACCATGTGTTCCGTCCCCCATATTATCCCCCCCCACCTCAGAGTTACAGTTGGTGAGCTGTATGGACACCATAATAGCTCAAGTCCATAGTTTCTATTAGGCTTCACTCTTGGTCTGTGTATTCTGTGGGTTTGGGCAAATACCTGATATATCCCCACCATCATAGTATTATACAAAAATCCTCCGTGCTTGCCACTGGTCAAGGAATATGTGCGTGCTGGATTATGTGGGAAGAGTACGTACCTTTAGTTTTGTAAGCCTCCAGGCTGTCTCTGGAGGTGGCCGTGCTGTGTGGCATGTCCCCAACATCCCCGGGTGGGAATGCCTGTGGCGCCACGTCCTCGCCAGTGTTTGGTGTCATCGAGTCTGCATTTGCCCGCTCTGACACGTGTGTGACGGTATCTCATTTTAATTTTCGTTTCTCTGATGACACATGATATGGAACATCTCTTCATATGCTCATTCGCCGTCTGTATATCTTCTCTGGGGCAGTGTCCAGGTCTTTGGCCTGTTCTGTACCTTTAACTATCAGTAGTTTGACTTGAACCGTTTAATTCATTTCTGTTCTTGCACCGTGGAGGGCGTGTGGAGCTATTTATGGAGTGAAATAGCTAGTTCCAGTGTAGAGTGATAGGAAATAACTTCCAAGTTGGGTTGAGTGGGGCGAAAAGTTAAAGTTTTTAAAGTATTTAAAAAATATTTAAAATGTATTTATACACATGCACAAAAAATAATCTAGTCAGGCACATACTTTTAGTAGACATTTCCCAGGTATTAACTAGATCATTGCAAGACTCCAGTGAAACAGATACTGTCTCCATTTTATGAATAAGCAAAGGCTTGTAGAGATTAAGAAATTTGCCCAAGGTCATAAGTTAATGAATGGCTGAACTGGGAATTGAAGTTGAATCTTTCAGATGTCAAGTCAGTTTTGCGTTGTCTCAACCCTGAAGTCCTGTTCAAATGTCCACCCATGCCAGCGGGCAGTTCCAAGTTTCCCTGGCCTCTGCAGGGATTTCACCTACTGCTGTAATGTTTCACTAAGCAAGACAAGTGCTATAAGGTTTCTGGAGTATGTATGTGTTTCTTGGCAAGTTAGCCAGTTTTTTGTGTGTCTCAGAATAAATTGTCGCTGATAACTACCTTGTGCCAGGGACAGGGTTTGTTTTTGTTTTAAACTGCACACTCTGTATACCATATCAGTTATCTGAAATGACGTTGCCTCCAGTTAGTTTAATGGGTTATGTCTTGGGTGAATATGAAGTTGGTCCTTGCTTTTCCCACACAGCCTGTTTGTTGTTAATATACCTGGCATGTAGGTGGTCCTGCTTCATTACAGCCAAGTGTTACATTTCCAGAATTACTTGTCTACTTTATGAAGATCTTTTAGCTGTTGATGTAGCTCTTTAAAACGCAGAGACTGGTCTGAGCAGAGTGGAGGCTGGACACAGTCTGCTGGCGCCCCTGGTTGGCAGTGCTGGGGACTCTGCCTGCCTTCCCTGCACTTCCTCACCCTTCACCTGGCCCGCTGCGCTCACCTTAGCTCTCGCTGCTCCTCCTCCCACTGTGCACAGGATTCACTTTGCCCTTTACCAGTCTTGCCCACTCAGTGCTTCCTCCCTCCCTCCATTATTTACTGCACACTTTATGGTGACTGGCGCGTGGTGGCTCTCAGTCAGTATTTGCAGTGTGAATGTTAATGAGGCGCGTATTGTGAAGCACACAGTGCAGAGCTTAAGGCAGTGCTGGGTAAACGAGCGGTCTCTGTCACTGCAGGCCCCTGCACTGGTCCTCCTCGCTGCAGCTAGAGTGGGCTCTTGGCATGGGCTGTGATGTGCTTCCATTCCCAGCCTGCCTTGCCAGGGCCTGGCACCTGGGCCTTCACGCCTTGGTGAAGGACTGGAGTGCTTTCCACAATGTGTGTGTCTTGCCCCTTATTCTTTCCCTGACTCTGTCCTTGCCTGGGAGTGCGTCGTGTTGTGACCTGCCATTTATCCAGAGTATAGCAAAGGTTAAAGCCTGATCTGCTGCTGGTGCGTGCTCCCTGCAGACCCTGCGGGGGGCCTGGGCATTTGCATTGTTGCCATCTGTGGACTTGGCGGAGGAAAGCCCAAGCAGCTGTGAGGTGCGGGTAGAGCAAGGCCACAACCAGGCGCCCCCACTTTTGGAGCGAGACTGCTGCCAGAGGGCCCACTCCAGGCCTCACTGCTCCTCCAGCACTCAGGGCCGGCTGAAGTTGCAAGAATGCTTTTCAAAAGAGGCTTTGGGGGGTTTTATAGGTGCAGTAACTTAGATACTTCTGTTTCTCCTTCCACAGAGTGATCAGCAGCTGGACTGTGCCTTGGACTTAATGAGGCGTCTGCCTCCCCAGCAAATCGAGAAAAACCTCAGCGACCTGATCGACCTGGTACGTGCTATCTTCAAAAAGTTTGATTTGGGGTTGTGGCTCATAGTTGGTTGTTGGTGCGCCCTTTTCCATGCCGAATCCAGAACACACAGGAATCCTCTCTGCAGCCAGACACCTCCATTGGCTTCCAAGAATCTTCCAGGGAAAAGATGAACTTCACATGCATTGTTGTCATCCTTCCAGAGCCACCTGTGCTAATAAAGCCCAACATAGGAGCTCTGGTGTTGATTACAGTCTGCCCCTTATCCAGCTGCCAGTTGGGTTTAAGTTTCTAGACGCTTACACTTGGGCACAGGGAAGAAGAGGCCACACGTGTCCTGCTGGCCTCCAGCGGTGGTTCTGGCTTTCACGGTCTGCTCCAGCCCCAGCCGTGCCCACACCTGCCCTGTCAGATGCTCCAGTGGCTTCACTTCTAGTTTGAAATAATATAAAACCCTAAAATTGGCCTTTAAAGAGCTCAGTGCAGCTATGTTTTAAATATTTAAATTTTTTTTTAAGGTTCAGAATGATGAGCTCAAAATGATGGCTCACATGAACTGGCATCCTGCAATTATTTTGAAAACACTCAAAATATTCAGAATGTCTGTAGAAACTTTGGGAAATACTGAAAAGTAGTAAAATAAAAATTGGGTCCCAAGCAGCCAATCGAGTTACCAAATGTGGCTGGCACTTCTGGCTCTGGTCCTGCCTTGGGGCCTCCAGGGCCCCCATGATCACTCCTCACTATGTCCCATGCCTCCTAGGGGCCACTGTCATTGGCTCATTAGCAAGGTGTCTTAGTTGGGAAATACAGATGGTCCCCGACTGCCATAGTTTGACCTCAGAATTTTCCATTTTCTGATAATGTGAAAGCAACAAACAAGCAGTGGACTCTCGTGGTGCCAGGCAGTGGAGTGGGCCCTGCTCTCTGTCAGCACTTCCTGCCTAGTGACATTTTCACTGTCTGACATGCTCACAGGCTGAGGAAGACCTCGTGAGAATGTGATGTCGCAAGGAGGGCTTCTAGCTGGCGTGGCGGGTCGTCTCTGTCTGCCCGCACACTGGGCTTGGCACGCCAGGCCTTGCTCAGCAGCTGACTCAATGGGCCTCGTGGGAGTCGAGCCGCCTGGGAGGTGGCACTGCGAGATGTGGCCTGGTAAGGGCCCTACGCTTCGTGTTGTTCTTGGTCAGAACTTTTGATGGCCAGTGGAAGAGGTGGGCAGAAGTTGAAGATGGGAGCTCATCCCTAATTTGGCCAGCCACAGAGCTGCCATTTTCTTCTCAAGTCAGCACGAAAGTGTGCTTGGCTCAGTTTAAATTTGCCGATTTACTTATTACTATAGTTCGGAAATAAACCAAACCTAGAAGGAAGAAATGATCAAGTTTTTCTCAAAAGACTCTTCTTGGTATTTTAACAGGCTCTTTTGTTCTTATGGCAACTGGACTGTTTGCTTGCAGCTGTGTTTCTGAGTGCCTCGGCCCTCTTCATCACAGGGATGTGCAGCTGCTTTTGTGGGGACCAGGTCAGCTGGTTCTCTTGCTGCATGTGCCAGTTTTCCTTGGGCTCCACAGGGGAATCGCAGGGTTGGTGGGGATGTAAGGGGCCTTGAGCCATCCTTCACCTCCATCAAATTCTGGTGCCCGCCATCAGCCCAGGTCAGATTGCAGGAAGGTGCTTAGACCCAGGCTGAAGCACCACACTGTTCCTGCTCCGAGTGGTGACGTGGCACCCGGCGGGCCGTGAGGATGTGCTGCTCACCACGGTCCCTACAGACTGACCCTGTAGAGTGCCTGGGGGGTGGGGGAGCAGCCATGGGGTGGGCTGAGCACTAGCTGTGTGCCCAGGACTGAGCTGGATGCTGTCGCTAGTGTTACTATTTCATGTAGTTTTCACACTCTCCCTTTAATAATGTGCACATGACACTTCACCTTTTTTAGATGATTTAAACTGTGAGGAAGAAGCCAAGTGGTGATACGGCTAAGCAGTGTCAGGGATCCTGGTCTCCCCCTGCAGTAACTCAGTCATAGGTACCTGACGCTCAAAGCAGCAGATTCACTGTGGTGTGTCTTTCTTACCTATTTGGGTGGGAAAAAAGGTAAAACCCATTAGACATTTATTATTAAAACATGCATGTATTATGGAGAATAATTTGAAATTTGTGCATTGTTTTGAAAAACGAAAGACTTGAAACATTTCTTTCTCAGAAGCAGGCCCCTTGGGATGGGCAGTTGCCTTGTCTGTGGCTTCAAGGGGAGCCGGCGAGGTGTCCCCTCGCCCAGGCCAGATTGCCTGGCGCCAGCCCCGTGCCCTTCTGCCTCCTGGGGCTGATCAGGGACCAGCCTCTTCAAAACTGGGCTGGGGAATCTGTATTTTTGTTCATTTTCTAATTTGAAGTATGATGAATGTCACAATGATGCCTGACTCGCAGCGGGTCAGGAGCAGGCGCTTCTGAGTGGCCCCTTCTGAGTGGGCTGGTCTCTTCTGGGTCCTCCGACCAATCCTGGAAATGACTTCTTGGGATGTTTTCCTTTTGTGGCTGCTGTTTTGCTTCCATTGTAAGTGTATGGTAGTTTTTCTTTTTCACCGGATGTGCAAAATTCTTGTAAGCGGGGGTCCGTGCTGAGGGTACCGCGGTGGTGCTGAGCTCACCTGCTTCTTTGGTTTCTTCTCAAAGCTGAGTTTTCAGGACTCCTCCATCCTGGGCTGTCTAGAAGCAGCATCTCCAGGCCTTGGTTTTGTGGAACCTGGGACCAATCAGATGTTTTCAAAATAGCTGATGCTTCTCCAGTGCAGATGGCAGGCTTTCCTTCCATGCTCACCTGCCCGACATGATGACGGGAAAGTGGCTGTTTTCAAGAACAGTCTCCAATTTTAAGACTGACAAGAATGTTGGGATTTGCCAGCATTCCCCATGAAGGGAATAGCCGTGCTCAGATGTTGGAGCCAGAGAACTGGGAGGAATGTATCCAGTCCACCAGCGGTCTGATCACAGAGCAGAATTAAAGAGAAATGTGGCGTATGCTTGGCAGCTAGGCCAGGAGGCCCAATTTATCATGCCAGATCAGCTTGCTGTTTCTTTCCCCCAGCAGAGCTTTTGCAGCCTTGGGATTATGGTGCGTGCTCTGACAGGTAAGAAATGACCTCCCTTTGCAGATGCCACAGCATCACTTTATTACATATTAATCCCATTGTGCTAGAGTGAAGCCAGCTGAAATGCGTTGTGAAGCTGTTTCAAAAATACCCACACATCCATGTGGGCCAGGAATCATGTGATGGATGCTAAGATGCTCCGTTGGCTTCATAAACTTTGACCTTCTATGGCTTTACACAGGCAGCAGTGGTCGAAACTTCTTGACTGGGGTGTATTTTGAGCTCTGAGCTGAGGAAGGAGTTTGTTTCTGCAAATTGGCACCCAGCGGGCCATCCATCCTTTGCCTTTTTAAGAGCAAACCAAAAGTAGCCATGGATCTGTTTAACCAGACAGCAGAGTCTTTGCTTGCGGTCATTGGTCACTTCATTTTTTAATACCTTCTCTCTTCTGTGCTCTCATCAGCCAGAGGTCCGGCCCGTGTAGCTTCCCAGGCTTTGCTCAAGCCGGTGGAGACTTCTGCTCTGGGCAAGCTCCTGTGCCATCCCGGCCAGACCTGCAGGCTGGACGTGGCGGAGATACCTGTTGCTCCTACCAGGGATCATCTGGGTGGTTTTCTTTTCAGTAGATTCCTCTCTTTAGCAGCCAGAATTGCCCTCCAGAAACAGAAAGAGCCAGCCGGGAGCAGGACTTTGCACCACCAGCCTCGGCCAAACCTGTACTTTGAACAGCTCGCAGAAATTGCCTCTGCACAGCGTGGTATCTACCAGGAACGTGCCCTCGATTCTTCACCCCAGATAGAAGGCTGGGGTGCCCTTAGGGGCCCGAGAATGGGCAAATAGAGACCCGTGGCTTATGTTTCCAAGAGCCTGCTCACCCTGAAGCTGTCGGTAGAACCATCCTCAGTTAGTGCTTGGTGAAATAAGGCTTATGTTATATTTGAGAGTTTATTATTATCTGATTTCTGCTAAGCATTACTATTTAGTTAGTCTCTAATAGATGAGCCAATGAAATATGGAAATTATTTTCCCAGTAGGCATCAAACTCAGTTCTGTCCCAGGTGATGAACACTGGGGCCGGATAGGATCTTGCAGGCCAGATAGGATCTGCTTTATCTGTGTTAGAAGCTGAGCAGCTTGCATTTTTTTCCTGCCTGCTTTTTCCTTTATCTTCGCTATTTAAAACCATCTCGTACCAGCATTTTTTCCTCCTTTATTTCAGAGGCACCATTTAAAATATCGTCTCCTTTCTAAAGGGGCTTTGACTTAAGTGGGTGAAGTTAATGGGTTCAGCCAGTGTTTATTGAATCACTCCCAGGCTTAGCCCTGGGAAGAAATGCAGCCTTATTCCTCAGCTCCCTTTCCACAAGGAAAAACAGAAGGATCCTAAAACTAAATCCCTTTAAGGAATAACTTTGGTTGGATTTTCTCAGCCTTGAGTCTTCACCAGTTCAACTCAGTGGGTGACTGTCATGAGCTGTGGACCGAGTTCTTTGTACATGTGTCTGGTACCTGCCACATGCCAGGCACTACTCTAGGTGCTGGGCAGCAAGTTGACAGGCCTTGCTCCATAAGGCAGGGCCAGTTCAGGAAAGGTTTTCCAGAAAAGGGAAGACTTGGCCACAGCTGTGCCGTTGTGTATCTATTGAGTATGTTTGTTTTTGCTTGTGAGTAAAGGTGTGACAGGTTATTTAATGGGTGTGCTCAGGTAGCAGTGAGTTTTTACCCTCTCTCACTTGCTGCTGGCCACCTTTTACCTGGCATCTTATTGCTTCCAAATTCTTTAACAAAGTATTCCAAAGGTGGTTGTCTCAAGTAGAGAATTTTCTGTTGTCTTTTTTTTTTTTTTTTTTTCAAATTACATAATATGTCCACGCACAAGACATTTTCTCCACCACAGCCTGAGTCAAGTTGCTGCTTCCCTAGTCGGGCC